TGTATTCGAAGTCGTAGTGTAGTTGTGATGTACTAGTAACAGTATTGTAGTTGTCGTAATTGTGGTTATTGTAGGTATGTATTGAAGTGTAGTGTAGTCGTAATGTACTAGTAACAGTATTTGTAGTTGTGGTTATCGTAGGTATTGTGTGTATTGTGTGTATTGAGTGTATCGTGTGTATTGTGGTTGTTGTTGTTGTTGTCTAATCTGTTGTGGATCATTTACCTGTCCTCTTTCTTGTTCTCGGATATTATATTGAGTTTGTTGTATCTTTATTGCAGTTAGACGTTCCTTATATTTTGGGGTTAGTTGGAACCCGGTTTGCGAAACATTTGGTTGGGTTTGTAGGGTATTCATATCAAGAAAATTTGATTGGGTTTGAACGGTTTGCAAGATATTTGGTTGGGTTTGTAGGGTGTTCACGTTATGGAAATTTGATTGGGTTTGAACGGTTTGCGAGATATTTGGTTGGGTTCGAACGGTTTGCGATATATTTGATTGGGTTCGAATGGTTTGCGATACATTTGATTGGGTTTGAATGGTTTGCGATATATTTGATTGGGTTTGCATGGTATTCATGCCATGAAAATTTGATTGGATTCGAACGGTTTGCAATACATTTGATTGGGTTCGGTGGGTATTCATATCATGGAGATTTGATCGAGTTTGAACGATTTGCAATATATTTGGTTGGGTTTGAACGGTTTGCGATATATTTGGTTGGGTTTGAACGATTTGCGATATATTTGATTGGGTTTGAATGGTTTGCGATATATTTGGTTGGGTTCGCTGGGTATTCATACCATGGAAATTTGATTGAGTTTGAACGGTTTGCGATATATTTGAGTGGTTTTGAATGGTTTGCGATATATTTGGTTGGGTTCGCTGGGTATTCATACCATGGAAATTTGATTGAGTTTGAACGATTTGCGGTACATTTGGTTGGGTTTGCTGAGTACTCTTATCATGGAAATTTGGTTGAACTGGATAGACATTATTGTGGTTTGGATATGTATTAACTAAAACATTGTCAGTTTGAAGAGTATTGAGTGGTTTAGAATCATCTAAGACATTAGATGGATCGCAGTTAGAATCTGATGGTTCTGAGACAGCGAGTCTTTTTCTTGAATAACAGTACTCTGATGGATCTGTTAATTTACGGATACCTTTTTGTTTTGGGGGTAGATTTATGAAAGTATCAAAGCAAAGAAATTCATTAATTGATGGTAATGTTTCTTTTTTAATTATCTATTATAAAAGTTGCATGAGTCGAGCACATTCCATAATCGTTGGAAAAAAAAAAACAATTTATTAGTATAAAGCTTTAAGAAAAAGTTATATTTTAGAATATTTACCTCTAGAAGACAATCATAAGACATTTTTTTTAAAAATTATAAATTTTCTTTGCAATTTAAGAAGAATTTATAGAAAATGAAAGGAAATATTTAAAGCTATTAAAAAAAATATAAAAAAAATAATATTAATATTTATTTAATCACACAAAATTAATTGCATTGTCTATTAACAATAAATACATACCTGTTTTTATTATTGCTATTATTTGTATATGTTTTTTGGGTTTGAATAAAAGTTATAAAGTTTTAAATATTTTTTTAAAAATATAATATAATTTTTAAGTTGTAATCCTATTTTATTATTTTTTTTTTTTTTTTTTTTATTTCTATATTTATTTATAATTATATTTTTGTTGCCATTATAATCTAATTATATGAATGGTTATAAGAAAAGAAAAATATGTTTGATGAAAAATAAAAATATATGAAATAAATTTATAAAGCACAAACACAACAAACACCCAAACAACAAACACCCAAACAACAAATACCCAACAGACACACTATAAAAAATTGAAATGGATTGAAGTAAAGTAGATTGGAATTTTATTGGGTTTAAAGTAAAAATTATATAGCTGTATAATATTATTTATTAAAATTTGAATTGATATCGAACACTACTGTTTGTAGAAAAAAAGGGATGGAACATCAACACAAATCTATTAAATCTAATTTACTTTCTTCTTTATTTAAGTTTTTTATTATAAAAAAATAAAATAATAAAAACAATAATAACAATATAATTTTTTAACTTAATTACAAACTTAAATTATTATTATATTCTATTATTATCTTTTTTTTTTGAGACAAAATAACAATATTGTGTTTGGTAATTTAATATAAAAAACTTTTTTTTTTTTTTTTTTTTTTTATTGAGTGAGTTATTGTTGTTATTTTTAATTTTAAAAATTTTAAAAGCTGCTTTTGTTATTTTAATGCTGCCTAATATATCTAAACTATTTTTTTTTTTTATTTATATTTTTTTTTTTTTAAATTATAATTAAATCTATTATTGCTGCATTATAACATCATTTATCAAATTGATAATAGTATAGAAAAATGTGTGAGTTTGTTGATGTTTTTGTGTTTGTAAAAAAAATTTTGTTTTTTTTTTTTTGGCATGCTGCCATATAACCACCAGCGCTTTTTATTTATTTTTCTATTTTTTAATTGGTTGGGTGTGTGAAGATAGTATTTTTTTTTTTTTTTTGTTGAAATTATAAAAATATACAATAATAATAAAAAAACACGTTGGAACGATAAAAAATAACAACAATATGATAACTACAATAAAAACAACAAATACAAAACATAACAAAATAAACTGTGAACGATACTTTGTTTAGTATATTTACATACCAATTTCTTTATAAAAACTAACTGTAAATAAGTATAACAACATTTAATAAGCTTAAATACATATTTTTTTATTTATAAAACTATTTAAAAAAAAAAAATAAAAACTAAAATATAAATTAAAATTTTTTTATTGGAATAAAATTTTTTTCATTTTTTTTTATTGTTATAATTGGTTAGCAGAAAAAAAGCAATTTTCACAAAGATTATGATAAGGAGTATTTGTGGTAGTGGTAGCTGACTAAAAAAAGCAAAGATTAAAAAAAACCAATCAAAAAGTTACCATTTTTTATAAGTTCAATCAATATCAAACAAACCCAATATTATAATAATAAAAATAATAATAATAATAATAATAAAAAAAAATTAAAAAAAAAATCAAAAAAAAATTAAAAAAAATTTTTTTTTTATTTTTCTTATTTGTTCTATAGAGAATGCTGAGTGGATTTAAAAAAAAATTAAAAAAAAAAAAATTTGATTGGGTTCGTTCCACAAAATATCTTTAAATTTTTTTTTTTTTTTTTTTTTTTTTTTTTTTTTTTCATTTTTCATTTCTCTTTTATGGTGTATTAATAGGTAAATAATAATAAATATATTTTAGAAAAAAAAAAAATCAATAAACAAATGGTTAAAAATAATAATAAAAGATCTTCCGATACTACCGTTACTACCGACACTACCGATGCTGCCAATGCTACCAAAGATGTTATTTTTAGGACTGTAAAGGCTAAATATGATGTCAAACCAAAAAAAATCTTCAGAAAGGATAGAGTAATTTTAGAGTATTGCTTCGATAAAAACCCATTCCCAGACACCATCGAGAAAGAGATCATCGCCTACCAATTAGAAATTACTGTTAGTCAAGTCGCCGAATGGTATAAAGACAAGAGGGATAACTTAAAGAAATCTAGAAATATCTCTGTCCCAAAGTATAATAGAAGCACCAATGAGTTAAACCTTTTCTTCCACAATTTCCCATTCCCCACTGAAGAGAACATTGCATACTTTGCATTAATCTATGGTGCTACCAAAGAAAAGATCAGAGTTTGGTTCGTGTCTAAAAGATACAACAAGAGAAAAACACATATATTCATTAAAAATGGTTCCATCGATAAATCTTCATACGATCCATACCGTCATCTTGGTAATTTCTATAATTTCTATGATGATGAATACGGTGTTAACACTGATACATTTTCAGAAGATCAATATAAACCAAATCGTATTAAAACTTTTGACCACACAGTTTACTCTATTACCAACATCCCAGAATCCAAAAGGATAAATCTTTTTTCCCAAAGAACAAGAAGACTTCAAAACGCCTATTCTTTCCAAATCTTTAATGAAAATAGAGATTAGATTGGAACAAGAAGTTTTTTTAATAATGATGATACCTCTGCTACCATCGACACTGCTGTTCCAAAGAATAGAACTTCCCAAACTCCAATTCAATCTGACAGTAGTGTTTGTATATTTAACAACAACAAATGATAATAATAATAATAATAATAATAATAATAATAATAATAATAATAATAATAATAATAATAATAATTCATTCAATAATACCACTCATAATATAAATAATAATATAAATAATAATTACAATCCAAACAGAGTCATTTTCACAAATATTTCATCTAACAACATTGACAAAAATAAATTTTTTATTCAAAAACAAATAAATTTCTAATCTATAAATAAAATATATATTTATTATTATTTAAATAAATCTTTCATAGTTTTTATTTTATTTTATTTATTTATTTATACCTAAATTTTCATCCATAGTATCTATATCCATATTTTCTTTAAAACTATTAAAAAAAAACAAGGTGAATAGTTATTTTCTTTATTTTTTTATAAATAATTTTTTACAAAAAATTTATTTCAAAATTGGAAAGTGGCGATTATGAAGGTATTTGTCAGTATATTCATCAAAACGGCCATATATTTAAAATACAAAATTTTGAACTATCCCTTTTTATTCAACATGAAATCCCTGTAAAATGGTTTAAAAAACTCTATAACACTTTTTTCAAATATCAATTAGATTCACATACATTGGTTATTCAAATGTTAAATATTAATTTTGAAGTTTTAGAGTTTTTATGGGAAAATAATATTGGCGATATAGATAAAACAATAG